AAGTCAGAATTCTGAGATTTTTTTCCATATTAAACTGAAATAATGTTTCAGTTTAATGAAATTACTGCTCTGTTGGCGCCAAAAGATGATTTAAAAGGAACCAAAAAGCACGACAGAGACACCTTAATTATCCCACATATGACTAATTCTGCAGCTGAATGTCCAGAAAGAGAAAAGTCTAAATGAACAAACTGATCATGTCCTAAATGATCTCCTGATCTTGCAGCTGCAGGAGGATCCATCAGGAGCGGACCTGTGACAGGGCTGGTTTAATGACAGACACACTGCAGCTGCAGACAAGTGAAAGACGCCTCGCCTGGAGAGCGTTAAATCTTCTCTGAGCCAAAACAGGAGCCTCAGAGAGAGGAAACAGAGGACAGTCCTGTTTGATGGCTGGTCACAGTGATCTGATTAATAGCTGATTGGATCACCTGACCCACAGGAACCTCCTGCTGCTCCTGCTTAGTCAGCTCAGCCCCTGGGTCTGAAGAGCGGCTCGATCGACCTTCTGCTGAAGGCAGTTTAAAATCTAATAGATTAAAGGAGCTTTTATTCCACTCAGTTTGAACATTATTATTTTAGAGAAAGATGTTCTGTCAGATAAGATTATAATATACATTAAATTACACTAAAACTTCCTACAGTCGTCTGGTAAGATGGACAGAAGCATTTTAACTTTATAAAGTGAAACAGAAACGGAACGTTGGACTGACGCTGAGCTGAAGATGTCTTTTCCTTTTCTGTTCAGTCTCAGGAGGATTCCTGATAACTGGAACTGACCACTGGACAGCAGGATTTACCTAAACCTCGGGGAAAAACCAGCAAAAGGCTCAATTTTAGGGCTAAAACATAGTGAAACACTGAAAACACCAAATCAGGTTAGAAAAAGTGGGATTTCTGTTCTTCTTTAAAAGAAACTGATCTAAAGGTTTCCACATTTAGCTCAAATTATTACTGATATTATTGCTGTTTTTCTTTCCCACATTAAATATCTCTAGCTGTGATTGGGTTTTCATTCTGACCTCATCATTTGGTGGGTCCCAGCAGATTAGGTTCTGTGATGAGCCGAGTTCTGGTTCTTCTGGACCTTTCTCTCTGTTATAGAGTGCTATGCTTCCCACTGTCGCCCCATGCTTGCTCAGACTGAGGCCTTCCCCTGATAACTTTGGAGTAACAGGATGAAGGTTTAAATATAATCCAGCTGAGTTGGACTCTTGATTTGAGTGACAATTAGAGCCAAAACTGGAATCTGGCATCCCAGTTGTGAAAAATGGAATATGCCAGTTGGTAACCGGCATATGTCGGCCTGAAACTATTGATCAGATTGTGATTAATTGCTTATTGAAATAATCGTCAACTAATTTAGTAATCTATTCATTGTCAACTGGAGTACAGAGACTCTAAAACCCCACTTAGACCCACTTAGAGCAATAATTTTTATCAAAATTGTAAAAAAAAAAACCCAACATGTTTTAGTCCACTGATTGTTCTAGCTAAAACTCCTCAAGTGGAAAAGTTTTAGTTTCACCTGGTTTAGTTTTTATTAAAAAAATAAAAAAAACTCTTTAAGGAACCTTTGTCTATCTGATTATTAATCGAGTAACGGAAAAAAATAATGGATTTGTAAAATAATTGTTAGTTGCAGCCCAAGGCATATGCCAGTTGGGAACAGGCATATGCAGTTTTTCAACTAACATAAGCCGGTTCCCAAATGGCATATGCCATTTTTGGCTGTAGTTGCTGCTGCTCGATTTGGTGTTATTATTTGGCTAATTTCAACTGAGCAATAGAGAGATTAGCTGGATTTGTTTCTTCTTATAAAATGCATTGAGATGATATACAGGTTTCCTCGAGTGTAAAATAGTAGAACTGCAAAATATACAGCCTCAGGGGAGAAAAAAGATCATAAAAAAGATCATATGCAGAAAAGAATCTGCAAAGTAACTTCAAACACACAGTTAAGCACAAAGGTTTGAAAAATAAACATTTTGCCCAAAATACAATAAAGATAAAAACTTTGGAAAGGAAGATAAAATGGAACCAGAAATAAGGATAAAAAAGAGAAAAGAGAAACATTAGCAATGATTTAAAACAAGTCCAAAAGAAGTGCGATGCTTCCTAGGCGGGGGTTAAATGCTTTCACTAACTGAAGGAGAAAGATAAAACCCAAAGTGTTCACAATAGGAGCACAAAACCAAATAGTTTGCAAAGAAAAATTATCCTGCAGAAGAATCAGAAACTACAAAGAACAACTAAAGTCCAGACAGATCCAAAAGAACAAAATGAAACAGAACAATTCCTGCAAAAGCCTGAATTAAATAAAACGGCTCAGCCTCAGGGGGATAAAAGCAACCTTCAGGTTGGATAAAGGAAAACATGGAGGATGTTACCAAAGTAGTTTTTATTCTGTCGGCTGCAGCTGCTACAGATGTGTTGGAGAGGCTGACTGGGATGTTTCAGCCTGCCTCAACAGGCCGCTGCTCATTAAACACAAAACAAACGCAGCAAGGAGAGGAATGCACACACCTCCTGACCCACAGACCGCCACAAACCACCCACTCCCACAGGTATACAGCCGCCACCCCAGCCGCTGCAGCAGAGACGGGACAGCATCATAGCAGTAACCATGGCAACGGTGGTCAAAACAGCTGTAATCTGAAACACGCTGCAGCTCATCAGCAGTTTGTTCCCTCCATCAAACCCTCTTATCTGTTCTCCAGCAGCGTTGGACTGTTTTACAGATGATTAAACACAGAAACCCTCTGAGAGATGTTCTCCTACCTTTCAAGCAGAGCATGTTTCCCCTCCCTGTGTTCGTGGAAGTGGATGGGAATCCAAGCAAAGACAGAATAAAAAAACACAAGTTCAAATCTGAGTCCTCCCTCTGCTCTGCTCTGTCTCCCTCCTCTATTCCTTCACAATAAAAGCCTGCAGCAGCTGCTTCCTGGCCAGTGAAGCCTCATCTATGATTCCCTTTAATCATGTAATCAGGCCAGGAATTTGGGGCTAACTATTTGTGCATTGGAAGTGTGAATTTGATGTTGCAAAGAGAGCTCCAGTCTAAGTTTTGTTTTTGTACAATAAACATTTTTTTTTATTAAAATTCTTCTAAAATGCTATGCCGTCCACCATATTGGATCAGTCCATTTGCTGCACATGTTCAGAAAGGTCCAAACAGACAGCAGCAAACCATTTGAAAACAAACCATGCAAAGAGCAGTGTTGC